TTGTTGGTAGTTTAGAAGGGGGCAAACTCAAGCCGAAGTTAGCGCAAGCCATTGGAGCGTCACAAAGTGTGAGTTCCAGGATCCTGGAACAGTTTTTTGGAAACTGGAAGTGCAGGCCGAAGACCAGGTCAAGGTCGTAGACGGGCAACAATGCCCAATGAAGATCGTTATTTGTGTTAACGGCTCGGAGACAACGAATATGAATGCTACTCATCTCCAACAACACCTTCGCTCGGCTACTGGCACAACGGTTTCAACTCAGACTGTCCGAAACCGGCTCCATGGTGTAGGTCTGTATGCTCGCCGACCGATGGTATGTGTTAGACTAACATCAAGGCATCGTCGCGACCGCGGGGAGTGGGCAACAAAGCATGTGAACTGGAGGAGAAATGAATGGAGCAAAGTTCTTTTTTCTGACGAGTCTTGTTTTTTTTTGTTCATCCTGATAATAGGCGTATTTTCATCTGGAGGGACCGTGGCAGTAGGAATAATCCTGCGTTCGTGCACGAAAGTGTCAGATTTGGCGGTGGGGAAGTGTTGTGTTGTGGTGGCATCTCCATTGACGGGCGCAAAGACCTCTGCATCATTCGAAATGGACCTCTGACTGGTCGCCGATATAGGGATGAGATCCTCAGACCTATTGTAGTCCCTTACGCTGCAGCAATCGGAGATGACTTCATTTTAATGGACGATAACTGCAGGCCACATCGTGCTAACCTGGTGAAGGATTTCCATTTCGAGGAAGGAATCGTACGAATGGAATGGCCAGCATGTCCTCCAGACATGAATCCAGTAGAGCACGTTTGGGACGCTCTAGGAAGACGAGTTGCTGGCCGCCAACCACCCCCACAAACTCTCCAAGAACTGGAAAGAGCTCTTCTGGAAGAGTGGGACAGAATACCCCAAATCGTGATTAATAGCCTCATTGACTCCATGCCCCAAAGGTGTTCAACGTTGCTGGCCGTCCGTGGAAATCATACCCCCTACTGAAAATGATTTCCTTTGAAGAAAACACCTTTTCTTATTCTTTTTTCTCATATGCACAAATTGTGTTTTTTTCCTTTTGTACACAAATGCGCAATGAAATGAATTTTTTTCTGCCAAACATGTGTAATTTATTCTAATATAACCTACTACGTCTGTCGACCATGTATCAATCAGCTAAAAAGTTTCCCGGTCACAAGATTGACCTAAAACCGCAATATCCTTTACTTGTTCTGAGCAGTGTAGTATTACGTGATCAGAGCGGATACGTGGTTGGTTACGTGGTCAGAGCGGACAGTGGCTACAGCGGACACGTAAGGGTAGCTGGGTGGGCAGAGCGAACATTCCTGCACCTATTGTGTTGTTTCCCTAATCAGTCACTGTCATCTGTTGTGTGGTTTCCAGCTTTGCACCTGCTTTAGAGACAAGGCGATATTTTTAAGAGAAAAAACGGAAATTCCAGATGCTACTCCACGTAAATTTCACAAAAATTGACAAGTTTCGCCTAGTTGGCGTGGCGTAAATCGCCTTAATTAAAAACTTAAGTACCAACGCCTTAGGGCAAATTACCAACAGAGACGGTTAAAGTAGCGGTTGGCTACTAATTGCCGCCTAGCCATTGACTCGATTTCGATTTCTCAATTTCTCAGTAGATGTTTGATCCTTATGAAGTATGTATGTCGTTTTATAGCGTGAAAAAATGATTACCCCCACCGTTTACACCGAAAAAATAAATTAGGAATGAGTTGGGTATGTGTAAAAGAAAAAACACGTCGTTGTAAAGGAAATGTAAAGACAAATTTTCAATACGAAGTACTGAAGAAAGCTGAACATTCCTGCGTGACCAACATTGCTGAGATCGAAGTTAAAAGGAAGTTAGAGACTTACAGAAAAAGAGTCCGAGAAGAAACATCAGTTCCCGATCCCCAGATATTTCAAGAAGAACTTTCAGAATTATATCAGAAAGATTATGATTTCGTTATTAAAACACCGATATACTCCAGTCCCAAGACTGTTTTATGTAAAGAGAGGAGAAAGTTTGGAGCTACCCCAAATCACCAAAATGCCAACGACAGTCAGTTTGCAAACGATACACTTATGCTTTTTAATAGAGGTGGTGTGGTGTGGGGGGGTGTATTTAATTATGGCAAAGCACACTAGGGCTATCTGCCTAAGGGAAGGGATGCCTTCGTGGAGGACGTTCTAAGGTAAACTGGCTCGTATGCACGTTACACATGGGGAAAACCACGAAAACACCCATGCAGCCAGCCCGTTCGCGGGATTCGAACCTCGGACTTAACTACCAGTGTTCAGCGACTTTACCGCTCGGCCGCTGGTGGGCCTTTAATAGAGGAAAACACTTTCATCGTTTTAGACTTTAAAAATGACCGAGATAACAGGATTTTAGTATTTGGAGGAGAAGAATCTTGTCACCTTTTGGAAAATGGAAACATTTTTTCTTAGATGGAACATTTAAAAGTTGTCCGAAACAATTTGCTCAAATATATACATCACACGTCGACTTAAAGAGTTCAGCAACATTTATACAAAATTAATCCAGCCCTTTTGCATTTCTGCCTGATAAGAGAAAAGCAATTTACATTGTTATGTCTCAGGAAGTTAAACGTTGGTGGTCTAAGCGGAAGCTGGACATTATAAAATTGGATTTTGAAGCCGCAGCCATCAATAGCTGTGTGTTAGAATTTCCCAGTTCGACTATTTCCGGTTGTAACTTTCATTTTAGTCAATGTTTGTGGCGTAAGATACAAGAAATGGGTCTAGTAAAGGAACATAAAGAGAACGAAGATATAAGAAATGTCTGCAGAATGATTTCTGCATTAGCTTACATGCCAATAGAATACATAGATGATGGTTAGAACATTTTATGGGGAAATTCTTTCAGGACTGACAAACGTACCACATCCATTGATTATTTTGTCGAACAGTGGATGGACAATCCAAAATATGCCCATTAAAGTATGAACAGCGTCAGAGGACTAATTCTGCTGAAGGGTGGAATTCCAAATTAAATGCAACCGCTGGCAGAAACCAGCCTAAAGTGCTCTCATTAGTTAAAATACTGAAAAAAGAAACACAAAAATTGTCTTTTAATTTGAAAGCCAGAGAATTAGGCGACCCTGGAATAAAAAGGAAAAAAGCATTTGTAAAATTGGATGAAAGAATTGAAAACATCCTAAAAGAATTCGAAACATCAAACGATTTAGAAAAATGTCTAAAATCTTTAAGTTTTGGAACTAGTAGGATTAAATCCAATAAATGATATTTATGCCTTTATAATAAAGGTTAGTTAATATTTATTTACTTGTATTTATTTTTCTTTTTTTATTGTATCCGTTTTGTATATTTTATTCTTATTTATTTTACATACATTAATGAAACTAATTAATTTTAGGACAACTGCACCTGTTCTAATATTTATTTGACTCTAAAATACAGTTTTCCACAAAATCCCTAAAATTTGTTCATATCCTTCATTATGCTGACTATTAATTTTTAAATACTTAATAATCTAAAAGTTTTTATTTTTATTACATTTCGCTATGTTTAAAATGCATTCGCACTATAATATCACAACAATTTAAATATAAATAATTCAATTTGATTGGCAAACATGTATTTATTATTATTTTATAATCGAGAGCAAATACAGAAAACTTCGGTAAAAATAAAGTTATCCCACTCGAAAGAGATTTGCCACTTAAAATACTGTTTTAAATAATACCGTTGGTTTTGCAAGCTGTGTGAAAGAACTCTTTTCTTGCTGGTGATAGAATTCAGACGATTCACTATTAAGATGAAAGACGCTTGCATATAAAAGACGGTAACTTCTCTATACCTGTAAATAATATCCATCTACGAATGTAATCATTTCATAGATTAATAGTTACTATTCTTGTTTCCATTAAATATTCAAGTTATTTATAAAACCGAACTAGTAGTTTATTAGCCCCTTTGACAGCCATTTCTGATGTTATGTTTACAGACAGCATACTCATAGATAGTATGTATCTGTCCCACATTAATTTTGCTTAGCATATATAGCATATAATATTTGATTTTAGTTCTAAGTTTAAAAAGGCGAGCGAGCAATTTATATTATAATTACCTTTAAAATATTATTTATAATCTATTTAGCTAATTTAAATTCATTAAAATCAGTAACAATTTTATGAAGCAAGCTTGTATTATTTGTTAAGAGTTAAATTTTATGTAAACAGATTTATACCTTTTTAACGTTTATTGCTTTGTTATTCCATTAAATTTTTAATAATAATGTTAGATGACTACAAAGGATACAGATTTCATCAATAAAAGGCGTATTAAAATTCATATTCGAATATAATTCGAATAATGTTTTGGAAAGTGCAAGATGTATGTTGGGATACATCAGGTTATAAAGCTAATGAGATGTATTATATAATTATAATGTGAGTTATTTATTTTGAAACATTATTTCCACTTCTCAGTTAGCTTAACTCTCCGAATAACGATTGTTGGAGGTGTTAAAACTCTTGACAAAGAGCTAACTTAAAGCAGGTGTTACCGACAGAGGCTTTTCATCTAACATTATTGACCAAGTGGTTCAAGAACTATCATCTCAAAGCGTCGAAAAATCACCCTCTCGTTTTAAAAAAATTTAAGAATTCTGCTGTCATATCTTTCTTTCCATCTAGTAACTCCCTCTCCTTTCCACATGCCTTGTACAGACATTAGGTATTTTTTGGGAAGCAGGAGTCATGAAAAAAGAGCAACGCCTTCCTTCGCCGGGAATCGAACCACGGACCTATGGAATACGCGCATAGCATGCAGACCACTACACCACGAAATCGTATGTGTCCGCTCTAACCACGTCCGCTATAGCCACACCACCGACTGTTGGTTATGTTTTGCCGCATAAAACATTCAGAATCTATTTCTTAAAATAACATTCAACATTTATATTTAACTGCTTAATATTAGCAGTGTTAGATAGAAGTGTTAAAATAAATTCTTACTTATACTTATCATCAGCAGCTTCCGCAATTTCCATTATCTCATATACTGTGATGTTTGCAGGAATTCTAAGTGACAAGGTGTAGATGATATCCTTTTCATCTCCAACATACAATGAATACTGCACTCTCATTTTGGGTCCCAGTTTATTCTCAATGTCAGCCACTTGGTCTGTTAAATGTTAAAAAATATTGCAATCATATATTTTCTGACATGACAACGCAAATGTTCCTGGTTTTTGACGACAGTACATTTTTCGATTTTCAAAACATATAATCGGCACCTTGCCAAATTCATGAAACTTAAACATCTTTACACTTCAAACAAATTTCTTTAACGATCTAATTCCTATGGTAGAAATTGAATTTAATTTCAAAATAATAAAGTTTTATTAAACTGCTTCTCTCCTTACAAGTAGAGTATAAAATTTTAAAAAATAAAAGAAAAGATTAAATTAAGCATTAAAACAACACAAGCATTAAAATAACACAATGCATCAAACACAAGGAAAAACACCTGAAAATGTATTTAGATGGAAAAGAGCAGATTTTTGTTTTCAGTATGATGCCGATGATATGCATAATACACCTGCCTATTTGACTAATTGTATCTACATATAGCCATGCGCATATTTAAAATAAATTTATGAACATACATAAAGGATATTTCTAAAAAAAGGAAAAAAAAATTTCTTTCAGCTAAATTGTTACTTCTTATAAAAATTTAAAAAATTATAAAACGTAAAAACCAACTTCTTTGATTTTAAAAATGATCATGAGCTAAAGTATGAAAACAATTTAAGAGTATATATCGTCTATCGTCAAATGCACCGAAGCCGACATACCTGATTTCAATAGAATTAATTTATTGAAGTTTCGAGGGAATGTTTTTCATTTTCAATACTAAACAAACAATACTAAACAAACTAATACTAAACAATACTAAATAAACTCACTACTAAACAAAAAATGCTTTTAATCATCGTGCGAGAGCCTGCTTTTTCGCAATAATATCTAGATATAAATTTAGCAGTTTTTTCTCTTCTCTGTCAATTACGAGACTATACGTCTTTACACTTAATCCTACAAATTCTGCAGCAAGAGTCTCTGAGAATTCATCTTATATTTTTCCTAGTTATTTTTTCTTGGAGGAAAAATGACTAGGACGCAAAATGATGCAAAGTGGTTTTTAGAGAAATTAAATAAATCAAAATAATCTTTATTTTTAACACTTCTTCATATATATCATCTGTTTTAATTTCATAGCATAACGAATATGTCAGTAAACAATAATTTAGTATGAAATCGTAATGCGAAATCATAATATGATATCATATTATGAATCATATTATGAATCATATGATGATATCATATTATGATATCATCATATGATTCATATCATATGAATGATATCATATTATGATTTCGCATATTATGATGCGAAATCATAATATAATCATAATATGATATCAAGTCGTAAAAAAAGATTTAACTAACATCTAATACGGAGCATCCGATATCTGTAGGTCGATCTAAGTGCTCTTCTCTTCATTTTTATGCTGCAAAATCATCACTAAATATCGTACTCGTAATCATCACTAAATTAAAACTAAATATTATAATCTTCACTAAAACTGAAAACATTAACAGAAATACTGTTCATTCTTTTAATTTTTTTAATTTGAAAGAAAAAAAGAGGTGTTTCCATTACATATTAAAAAGAAATTGAACAGATTTCACGTGAATCTTCAATTTTTGAATGAGAATGAAAAAAGATATTATTGCTTCATAAATAATATCAATAGGCTTCTAAGATCTCTGCCAAAACACAATGGCATTGCATTTTACTGTCGGTATGGTTTGCATCCGTTTTCAATGCAAAATGTTTTTTCATGTATTGTGCAAAACTGTCAGATTCATGGCCTTCAGAAGAAGAAAAATGTTGCTAATATGAATTTAACCTGAAAGGATTGTTGCGTGAGTGCGGTTTCGTAATGGATTGAGTGCACAAATCTGCTAATAGGTTAGCAAAATTTATTCTTATCACTAGAAATGTAACAGAACGCTGGAATTTTCCTCTGAGATATTCGTACAAATGTTCACAATATCACGCAGTAATAATCAGTAGTTATACTTCAAACTACTAAAAACTGTTAAATACAACGTAATGCACGTCGCATTTAAAGAAAAAGCTAATCCGATTTATCTCAGTTTACGCTGAACAAACTCCAACAACAATAACTAAGCAACTATCTAAACAACTGAAGTGGGATGTCCTCTCTCTGACCTTTTATAGCTTTCAATCGGTCGCGAGAAATTTCCAGTAATTTCTGCTTCTCGATATTTGTGGAAAGCAATAAGGAGATATAATTACGATTACAGCTAACACAGTAGTCAATAACATGTATTCAATGTTAAATGCACGTGCTCCTGTATTTTTAATTTTCCAGCGTAGCTTTCCCTTAGAATTTGTCTCGCGCTGCATTGCACGAAGAAATACAATGATTTTAATAATTCTACTAAAATTATCTATTCAGATAGATAGGAAATTCGTAACAGTATCCTTTGTCATATACGCGGATTTTGAATCGCTTATCTCCAAGCTTGACGTATGCATAAACGGTCCGAACACTTCTCATTCAATAATTATGTCTCACCATATTCGATATAGGGATTGCTATTCTGTTATAAGTCCTGATGGGAGAAAGTTAAAAAAGCGCGTAGATTATATATAGGAGGTGATGTTGTTTATCTCTTCCTTCAAGCTACACTTACGGATATTATTTTAAATATTAAAAGCCCAAGGGAAATATTTTTTTGAAAACGAAACTCTTTCTTAGCAAGCTAAAGTTTGCCACATAGTGGAAGGGGAGGTCAAGTCAGTTCAAGAAAATAATAAAGCAGGTCAAAAGGAAATGAAACGAGAAATTGCTGCCATAATAGAAACAAATTTGAAGCTACGGGAGTCAGAATAGATACGGATGAAAACAAAATTGGAAAAGTTGAAGAAAGAGTTTCTGCTGCCGAACAACGAATCCATTACAGAGTTTCTGCTGCAGTCGCCAAGGAAATTGACAGGTTAAAGTAACTTATACCGGAAGATCGAACTGGATGATGGAAAGGCTTTCCGATGGCAATTGATACTTCCAAGATCCCGAACCCCGGACGTGTTCGAGAGCGCTTCTTCGGAGTAATGCAAGGGATAACGTGAAAAAAATGGTGCCAATCTTGCGATTCCTGTGAGTGTTGGAAAGGACCGAAGAAGGAACGCAAGCGGAGAGAACAGGAATTTTATAATGTAAGAATAGCCTTTTGAACGCAACGCCTTTGACATCCTGGGACTTCTGCCATGAAATGCTGATGGAAACAAATGCATTCTGGTTGTCATCAATAACTTCACTAAGCGGTCTCAAGCGTATCCTATTCTTGATCAAGAGGCTATCACATAGCAGAGGTAATAGAGCATTGGATTTCCAGGTTCGGGGTGCCTCCACATTTACATTCCGATCAAGGAAGAAATTTTACCTGGGTTGTAATTTAACAACTCTGCAAGCTACTTGGTATTAACAAACCCAAACGATAGCTTTACATCTCCAGTCAGACGGCATGGTAGGGAGGTTTAATTGAACCATCCTTAATAATCTGTCATTGGTGGTTTCCAGAAACCAACAGGACTGGGTTAAAAAGTTACTTCTGTTTTTAGTGTCCTATTGCACGAGACTGCCGGCTATATTAATTTTTGTTGCCAAATATGGGGAAAAAATCTCCAAAATTCCCCAAACGGGCCTATTATTTGGCGATATTTGGTGCGTCCCTTGTGTCACTGCAGTAGCTACTCTAATTGAATAAATATATCTAATATCTAATATTAAATGATCGCTATATTAACTATAACCGTAATTCGATTTGCATGTTGTCCTCCAGTAAATTTGAGAGCCAGAAAGTACTAGAAATATCTTGGTGGCGCGGTGACCACTCTATAAGGCCGGAGAGAGCATCTGCTCTCTGTTCTTGTTGTCAGCTGTTAGCTCAGCGTCAGTTCCGAGTACTATCTAAGGTTTAGCTTCGCTCAAGCCGCTGCGCTTCACATTGCCTTGTGTTTAATTTTCTTAGTTGTCTGAAGTGTGACTACTGATTGTGCTCTGTGATACTGTGAACAACTGTACCAGTATTTTTGTGAGAAGTTCTAGAACTTTGGAGTATTTCTCTCGATAAAATAAATTTTATTAACCTATTGTCGGACCTGTGTGCATTCAATCTATTAAGCAAGCAACAATATTAAAATTTTATTCATTTAAACCAGCACATTAATTGAGAGAATTTTTCGCGAAATCAAACTTAAAATATGGAAGACAGTGAGTTATTTTACACGAGAACTGAATGTAGATATCACATCACAGAGGTATCAGTTTCTTAACAAAAACACCTTATACACAGTTTACACGGAACGTTTATTTATTCCTCCTGGATAAAAGACAGTTTAAACAGTGTTGATGTATATAAATAAAGCGTAAGAGGAACTTAATTTTTATGCTTTTGCCTTTATTTTGAACATGGAGTCTATAAAAAGAAAAAATTCAATTGAGTGCTTCACTTTGTCAATGCTGTCTTACCAAGGTGTTGTAGTTGATTCGTAAATTTTAACATATTATTATATTGTTACGAATTTGGTATTTAAAAAGCTAATATTAGTTCAATTATAAATTAAATGGTTTTATTTCTCGCGCAGTGCAGCGCGTGACGAATATTAAAAGAAAGCTAAGCAGGAAAATTGAAAATACAAGAGCGCATGCATTAAATAAATAAATATCTCTTTTTGATTTCGAGAAAGTACTAGAAAATTCTAGCGCGTGATTTTAAAATCTTATAATAGAAGGAAGACATCTCAGTTCGCAGTAACCTGGATCTTCAAAGCACTGATCTTATATTTGTCATTTTTGTAATCTTCTTATTGTTATATCAGAGACTTTGTAATATTGTGGACTTATGGACATGATCCTTGTACCTGGATCTTCAAAGCTCTGATTATTTATTGCTAGTGTAAAATGTTTTTCACCATTTGCTACTTCGCTCAAATACCGCCGTCCCTATATGTACACAGTGTATAGTTTCAGTAACTCATGTGCCTCAGTGTTGTACAAGAACTTTAGTGTTTAATTTCTCAGACCAAGA